AGATACCACCTATTATGATATTTTTTTCCTGATAAAAAAGTAACTTCCCTATTTCTAGTAGTCAAGTTAAAAAGTAGGTAGGTGTTTCCAAGGTAGATTATAGTTTAGATCTTATTTTTAGTCTTAGATCTTAATCATAGTTTAGATCTTATTTTTAGTCTTAGATCTTAATCAGTGGCCAGAAATATTTTTTGTAATACCCCAAATTTTGATTAGTGACTAAAATATAAGTTTTAAAAGTTTAGTGGCTAAAGTATAAACTTTGAAAAGTGTAGGGACTTAAATTTTAATTTTTAAAAGTTATATATTTTAGCCGAACAGTTTGGAAAAAATATTTTAGTGGAAATCATATTTTCGGTACAAGATTTGTGTTAAAGGCTATAAAGCGGAAAAGTTCGGTATCTAAATCGGATAATCAGATCGAATTAGAATTTCACGAAAATGTGAAGGATGCTAGATAAAGGTCAAATATTTTTATATATTTTAGAAAAGTGAAATTTAATATGGATCAATGAAATTAAGGTCGATTTTCCATGTTAAGCCACAAATTTAGAATTAGGTGACTAAATTACAATTTTCAAAAAATTACAATGACAAACATGAAAAATCAGAATTTATGATATTTTTGTTATGGATATGATGAGGTAAGGGATGATGTCATAGAGTGGCAACGTTGTAGTTATGAAATTTCATTAAGGGTAATTTTAACTTTTGGGTTAATATGATTTTTAATTCCTTTTTAATGTTTGTTAAATAAGTGTAAAGGAGTTATAATTGTAGAAAATTCAGGGAAAGAAAGCCTTCATCCTCCCTGGTGTCGTGAGACTCCATGAATAAGGTGAGAAGCTTTGTTTTTAATTTTTAGTCCATTTTTACTATAATTTTAAGTTAGGTTATTAAGTATAAAATAACCTACATGAAATTCTCTTTCATTTGGTATAAAAATCTTCATATTTCATGCTCAAGTTGGTAAGATTTTGATGAATGGGAAGTGCGATTTTTATGATTAAAGATCGATTCTTGATATTAGAAGTGTTGTAAGAATTGATGAAGGACCTAAGGATGCAAATTAATGAAAACAATTTAGATTTTTGAATCTGGCAGTGAGTTTGAAAATTCACCAAAATTATAAAAATGATTTGGAGGTTATTTTTATATATTTGTGTTCTTATATGAATCCAGTTTTGTTTAAAACAAACAGAGATCAATTTCAAGGTATATACAAAAAGATATGAATTTTTAACCGAGGAAAGGTCAGAAAAACGGGCAGTAGATTCTGCACAAAACAGATTCTGTCCGTCAACTTTGAAAATTCATCATAAATTGTACAGAATGAACTAGAAGGAGTTATTTATATAGATAGATTTGTATTCGAGTCTAGTTTTCAAGGAAGAAACAGAATTAAATTATAGTGTGTATATCAATACAAAATACTGATTCTTTAAAGGTAGTGCGAGTTGTCTAAATATGGAAATTTTAGAATTTAAGTGGAAATGGATTGGAAGCTGAAGAGTAATGTTTAAATGTTTGGATATATTTTTGGATGCTTGATAGTGAATTTAAATGGAAAGAGACCATTTTGAATAAATTGGAAATGTTGAGAAGAATTCTAAAAGAATTCATTTTAATAGTTAGATGGTGGAATTCGAAAGGTTCCAAAACTTTGAGGACTTGTTTGCAAGTTCTTAAATAAAGAAGTATTATTTGAGTATTTTATTCAAGTGCTGGAATTTTAGTAATTAATGTATAATGAGCATAATGGTGAAGGACCATTATGAATTAAATGGAAAGGTTGAGGTGAATTCTAAAAAGAATTTATAATTTATGGCTTATTTGTGTAATTTAGCAAAGACGAAGAGTTAAAGATGAAAAAATATTTATGAATTTGGAAGAGTATTTTTGAGAAGTTGGAAATTATAATGGAAATGTGATTTAGTTGATATCGATTTAATCTCGATTTTTTTTAATATTTTCGAATGTTAAAATCAGCTTATGCTAGTACGATATTAATATGTAGTTCGAACATTTTGTGTTATAATTTGATATTATTATCAGACTACGATAAATCTAGAAATCCGAACGATCCGAAAGAAATGACAAAGCTCGTGACTAGGACTATTGTATAAAAGTTCTGTAGTGAAGCAAAGGTGAGTGCAATTTATTTATTTTATTATTTTGAAATAGGACGACTTGCGATAAGTCAACATCACCTTGTTTATTTCAAAGATATGAATTATGTTTTGATTATGAAATTATATCCATAATATTTTTAATAAGTTTTATGAATGATTTTGCGCATGAACTGCCCATGTCACATTTTACGAATGTGAATTAAATATATTTCTGATTCTGATATGATTTTTATCAAATGATTACGAAATGAACTAAAAAGCCCATTGTATGTTATATGGGGAGTCATAGGTACAATTGGCATGCAATGAAGTAGAGTGATTATCTATTCTAATTCTGATATACTGTGGTGTACCGGAGTGTACACTAGTATATGTATTCTGACCTGAATGCACTTTGTGTGCATATTGTTATTTCTGATGCGATAGCACTGTTTGTGCTTATCTATTCCAACTTTGATGATCTAAGATATGTATTGTGCACACTCGTCTGACTCACGTACCTTATATTCTCTTAAAATATACCTTGGGCTATAAAAATGAAATACAAAAGTTCTGAAAAGTGTCTGATTTCAAAAGAATATGGACTGATTATCCTGTCTGATCTGATTTATTATGATTTTGTGAAAATCATCAGATGATTCTTTTCAGGTTTCTGATAAAGTTCAACATAAGATATCCGGTTTGAAATTCTGAAAGTTTGTTTATTTTATTTTAAATAAATTTATACATATTTTGATACTTTATTTATTTGTTCTCATCATTAGTATTACTGTCTCACTAAGTTATACTTAGCACGTGATGATTTTCATGCGTAGGGTCTGATTGAGATACGGACGTTTTATGAGGAGCCTTCCAAGCGTCATGTGAAGATAATCTATAATACCAGTATCAATAAGACATCATTGAAGTTTCTTTTGACTAGTAGTGACATGCATAATTATGTCAGTAGTTTCTATTTATCGTATTTATTTTAAATAATTTGTAATAGTAAACTAGAACCATTTTAGTTTATTTTATTTAGTTTAGTTTTATCATCATCTACTCATGAAAATACTATATTATGTTATTATGTTTTTAAAAGATTTCACGAAAAGATATGGATTAGTAAAAATTATTGATTATCAAATGAATTTATTTTCCTATGACAAAGAAATAAATTATAGGTTGAGATATACTTTAAAATAGATTTTTAAAGTTAGAATAAGAGTGTTTTCAAAGGAAATAACTTTTTAGGCAAATTTCATTTCAGTAAATGTTTTAAAGTTGATGTGATATCCTTGATTTGTATATCGCGACATATACGAGTTAAGGGTGTTATATTTTTTTAAGATTAACACAAATAGAGTTTTAGGGTGAGCATAATCAATAAAATGGACAACCGACTAAAGGAAATTTGGATTTCAACCCATCCTAAATTAAACGTGGATCCAACACTGATCTTGACGATCTTATTTGAAACATAAAATGCCTGACTCAGCCGTATATCATTTTGTTAGGTACTTCCTGATATCGAACACGATAGCATTTTTCATACGCAGCAGCATCGCTGGTAGCATCGAGGGCAGTTCGGGCATCCAAAGGCAAGACAGGTATAGTTCTGGTGGTTCTGGACCAGTGACGGATCCAAAAATTTATGAATGGGGTCCAAAATTTTAATTTTCTTTTCTTAAAAATAATGGGGTGCAATTTTTTTTATTTTTTCCATTTTTCTTTAATATATTATATTAAATTTCACTTTTTTTCCTAAATAATGGGATGCACTTGACCTCTAAGGAGCTTAGTGCATCTGTCCCTGTTCTGGACATGACCATAATGGGGTTGCTCTTGTCTGCTAATGGGGCAGCAATTTCTGTTGGGGTCTTAGGCCAATACGGTAACTCGCATGTGCAGTGGAAGAAGGTTTGCAATATGTTCGGTGGATTCTGTCACCAAATGACTGCAGCTATAATTTTTTTCTTTGGTCGGATCATTGATTTTCTTTTGGCTGGTAGCACTGGCCATTCTCAAGGAGGTAAAAAGGGAGCCGTTGTTGGTATTAATGTTTAGTATCTATTTGTAGCATAAGCTAGTAGGAAAAGGAAGTTGGATCAGCCAAGTACATGCGTAATTTATTAAGGTTTGGATGGTGCTAAATTTGAAGCCAGCCTGGTCGGTGTACTTGATGAATCTCATTCTAGAAAGATCAAATTTTATTGCCAGTACTATTTGTGCTTTCCTTTTACTTTCTGCTCATTCTTTTTATACTTACATATAGGGATAGATGTAGGATTCTACGTTATAAACTTATAATATTTTAGGTGGCGAACTTATAAATTTTAGGAAGGTGAAATGAGATTATCAATTGAAAATACCTAGATTTTCAGGGGGCCATTAGCCCGCCAGCTCCCTTGATCCATCCCTACGTACAAGTCAAGATTGGCGATTGGATCACCCCACTTTACACAGGCAAGAACAACAAAACTAAAAAAACGAAACAAACTAACACCTACATATATGGTGTACAGTTTTGATACATACTCTTCAGGCAACACATTCGGTAGAAAACATATACACACTATTTCAAAATTTCAAAGGAAGAAACTGGTGTACTTTAACTGTTACACTATACAAGCCATTGACTAGGCAGTTTGATGTCTTTTTCTTCTCTTTTCTTATTTCAGTTAATACTTCATAATACAGATTAAAGATGTCTTCATAGATTCTACGAAGAAATAGTGAAGCAATACCTTTGAAAATGCTGGCATGGTTCCACAGCAAGTAGATGTAGTTGGTCTTGAAGACTATCATTCACACGATTAGTCCTAGTAGAATCTAGATGTTTACAAGTGAACTACATATGATAAAGCATACAATATTGATATTTTAGTTATATCATTCATGTGCAAAGCATTGTTAATTTGCCCAAATTAACATTATCTCTTTTCCAAATAGATTTCATTAGCCTCTATGGGGCAAACGTAGCTTACACAAAATTTGATTTTCAGATAGCCTAATTTTACCGCTAGGAGGATGGTTACAGAGAAACAGTGTACCTGAGTTCTATGGTTGAAGGCAGCCAATATTCAGATGAACTCCATTTCCACAAGCAAATCAGACAGAGACAAACTAGAGGTATAAGCGTGAAAAGCTAGATCATTTTCAGCTAGCAAGTTGAAAACTATAGAGGATGTTTATGGATTAAAGAATAATACATCCGCATGCATTCAGCTTCGGCAACTCCTCTTTGTTATTTGCTGCAGTGCACCAAAAAACAAGGACAATAGACCAGAAGAGAATAAGGGAGACAAAGCTATAAACTCATTCACCTCTTTAGTTAAGAAACTCCAGTGACTGAGTGTTTTCACTTTTCTCTAAAGATTACATATTAAATTGGGGGGGGGGGTTGTCCAAAGGTTTATATGAATTCAACAAGGATCTATATAAGATCTTGTGCGTGATGAAAATAAAGAAATGTTGTGCTTTCAAGAAAGAGAACTTGACGAACCTGTCTTGCGTTTTGATTTAGCAGGCTGCGCTAGCACGTGCATGGTGATAACATCATCGGGAAAGTCACCAACTTTTTTTGTGCAACAAGCGAGGGTTTTGTTGTTTCTCAGAACTTTACCAGCATGTATGAGTTTCAAATCGTTTATCGACTCTGGTGTCACCTTATTGCCTAATACACGAGGGTCGAGGGGAGGAGGATCATCCATGATATTTTAAGTTAAATTCCATTCAGAACTTTCACAAATTAACTTCCCATATACATGTATTTCATACATTTACATACATAAACACTGGCTAGACAAATACACATGTTCCTTGTTGAAATTCTAGATGGCTGCCATTCTAGATGGCAGCCGGTTGAATTCAAAAATAGGGGCTGTTGTGTTTTGTTGAATTTGGGCAAGGGTAAATCACACATTTAGTCATTGTACTTTAGGGTATTTTCAAAGATTAGTCCCTAAGTTTCAACTATAAATACCCTAGCTCATTTAGCTTCAAAATCATCCCAAAATCTTCCAGTTCTCTCTCAAGTGTGTTTTGTAAACACTTGTAATTTTTCTCTTCAGTAAAAGATCTGCAGCAGTCCGGAGACGTAAGCACAATTGGCTGAACTCCGTTATCAATTTTTCGGGTATTATTTTCCGCTTTTATTTCGTATTCTCACTAATCTGGCTATAGGGAAATTACTTGTTCTCGTTATATTTCCTAACAACTGGTATCATGAGCTTTTGGTTGTGAATTTTGCCAATTTTCTGCGGGGTTACTATTCACGTGAATAGTGAATTTCGTGAATAGTGAAATTTTGTCGGCGATACGAATTTGTCGACGGAGGTGTTCAAATACACGGCGGTTCGCAGAAATTGTCAAAAACGATTCAAAGAAACCAGATTCGAGTGGGAGCGATGGCTGCAGACGAAGGGAAGGTGAAAATTGAAAAGTTCGATGGTGCGGACTTTGGCTTTTGGAAGATGCAGATCGAAGATTTTCTGTACCAGAAAAATCTATATCAACCCCTCTCAGGAAAGCAACCAGAGGGCATGAAGGATGAAGATTGGGTTCTTCTCGACAGACAAGCCCTCGGAGTTATCCGACTGACGTTATCCCGCAATGTTGCTTTCAACATAGCAAAGGAAAAGACCACGGCGGGTCTTATGGCGGCTCTCTCCAGTATGTATGAGAAGCCATCGGCCTCAATCAAAGTTCATTTGATGAGGCGATTATTTAATTTGCGGATGACGGAAGGGGCATCGATGGCACAACACCTAAATGAACTCAACACAATCACAACCCAGTTGAGTTCAGTGGAAATTGAATTCGATGATGAAGTTCGAGCTTTAATTCTCTTATCATCTTTACCAGACAGTTGGAATGCTACTGTTACAGCAGTCAGCAGTTCGTCGGGAAACGGCAAATTAAAATTCGACGATGTTCGGGATCTGGTACTGAGCGAAGAAATTCGACGGAGAGAATCGGGTGAAGCATCAACCTCCTCAGCCTTGCACACGGAGTCCAGAGGGAGAACTTCAGAAAGGAATTCAAATCGTGGCAGATCGAAATCCAGAAGGGGAAAATCAAGAACAGGAAATAAAGATTTTACCTGTTATAATTGCGGCAAGAAGGGTCACTTTAAAAGAGACTGTCGAGCACTGAAGAAAGATACCAGCGCACAAGGATCTGCCAACATGACAGAGGAGACAGGTGATGCCATGATTCTAAGCGTCAACAGTCCGATTGAATCATGGATCTTGGATTCAGGGGCATCTTTCCACTCCACGTCATGCCAAGAAATCATGGAGAACTATGTCAGTGGTGATTTTGGAAAGGTTCATCTTGCTGATGATGAAACCTTGAAGATCGTCGGAAAAGGAGACATCCGACTAAAGCTGCCAAACCAGACCACCTGGAAGCTGACAGGAGTGAGACATATTCCTGGTCTCAAAAGAAATTTGATTTCTGTAGGACAGCTTGATGGAGAAGGATACAGTACAACCTTTTCAGGCTGTGAATGGAAGATTACCAAAGGAGCACTCGTCATTGCTCGTGGTAAGAAGACTGGTACTCTCTATGTAACCTCAAATTTAGAGAATATCATTGCAGTAGTAGATGCTGATGGAAAATCAAACCTATGGCACCAAAGGCTTGGCCATATGAGCGAGAAAGGAATGAAGATACTTCTGTCAAAAGGGAAGTTGCCGGATCTAAAGAATGTAGATGTCGGACTATGCGAGGATTGCATCTTTGGCAAACAAAAGAAAGTCAGTTTTGCAAAGATTGGCAAGACACCCAAGGCAGAAAGGTTAGAATTGGTTCATACTGATGTATGGGGACCATCCCAGTTCCATCTCTTGCAGGCTCACTATATTATGTCACCTTCATCGATGATTCAACAAGGAAGGTGTGGGTTTATTTTCTGAAGAAGAAATCAGAAGTCTTCGATATCTTCAGAAAATGGAAGGCCATGGTGGAAAATGAGACTGGTTTGAAAGTCAAGCGGTTAAGGTCTGACAATGGAGGAGAGTACAGAGACAGTAGATTCAGAGATTTCTGCGCAAACAATGGGATCAAGATGGAGACAACAGTTCCCAAGACACCGCAACATAATGGTGTAGCAGAGCGCATGAACAGAACTCTGAATGAACGTGCCAGAAGTATGAGGATACATGCCGGCTTGCCCAAATTTCTATGGGCTGAAGCAATCAACACTGCAGCTTACTTGATCAACCGTGGGCCCTCAGTTCCTTTGGATGGCAGAATACCAGAGGAAGTTTGGAGCAAGAAAGAAATAAACCTTTCACACTTAAGAGTGTTTGGTTGTATTTCTTATGTACACATAGACTCTGCTGAAAGAAGTAAGCTTGATGCTAAGTCCAACAAATGTGCCTTTGTTGGTTATGGCGGTGATGAGTTCGGTTACCGGTTTTGGGACTATGAAAATCGGAAGATCATCAGAAGCAGAGATGTCATTTTCAATGAGAATGTGATGTACAAAGACAGGTCAATTGTAGAATCAAGTAGTTCAAATACCAAAGCTGAAACAAAGGAATTTTCTGAGTTTGAGGAGATTCCTGGAAATGATGTTCAAATCAATCCTGGAGCAGTTCAAGAAGAACCAAGCACACCAGAACTGAGACGCTCCTCCAGAATTCCTAAACCAACCCAACGGTATTCTCCTTCTTTGCACTACTTGTTGCTAACTGACAATGGTGAACCAGAGTGCTATGATGAAGCAATGCAAGTGGAGGATTCAGTCAAGTGGGAGTCTTCCATGAAAGATGAGATGGACTCGCTTATGTCAAATCAGACATGGGAATTAGCTGAATTACCACAAGGCAAGAAAGCGCTCCATAACAAGTGGATTTACAGGATCAAATAAGAGCACGATGGGAGCAAACGCTACAAAGCAAGATTGGTAGTCAAAGGTTTTCATCAAAAAGAAGGTATTGACTACAATGAAATTTTCTCTCCAGTCGTAAAACTGTCTACAATCAGACTGGTGTTGAAAATTGTAGCTGCAGATAATTTACATCTTGAGCAGTTAGATGTAAAGACAGCTTTTCTTCATGGTGATTTGGAGGAAGAAATCTATATGAGGCAGCCAGAAGGCTTCATAGAGGCAGGCAAGAAAAACATGGTATGCAGGTTGAAGAAGAGCTTGTATGGTTTAAAACAAGCTCCTAGACAGTGGTACAAGAAGTTCGATAGTTTCATGGGTAGCAGTGGTTTTACCAGATGTCAAGCAGATCATTGTTGCTACATCAAGAGGTTCGACAATAGCTTCATTATTTTATTGTTGTACGTTGATGACATGCTCGTTGCAGGCTCAAACATGCAAGAGATCATAAACTTGAAGCAAAAATTATCGAAGCAATTTGCAATGAAAGATCTGGGCGCTGCAAAGCAGATTCTTGGGATGAGGATCAAGAGAGACACAAAGTCGGGGACTTTGATGTTATCACAGGCTGAGTACATCAACAAAGTACTCTCCAGATTCAACATGCAAGATTCTAAACCAGTAAGTACACCTTTAGGTGTTCATTTTAAACTCTCCAAAGAACAGTCACCAAAGACGGAGGAAGAACGTGCACACATGGTGAAGGTGCCATATGCCTCAGCAATTGGAAGTCTGATGTATGCCATGGTTTGTACCAGACCAGATATTGCTCAAGCAGTGGGAGCTGTTAGCAGGTACATGAATAATCCGGGCAAGGTACACTGGGAAGCAGTTAAATGGATCCTCAGATATCTACGGGGTACTACAAACAAAGAACTTTGTTTCAAAGGTGGAGATACGATACTGACAGGCTATGTAGATGCTGACTTAGCCGGAAATGTCGACATCAGAAGAAGCACTACAGGGTATGTTTATACTCTAGGAGGAACTGCAGTGAGTTGGGTTTCTCAACTACAGAAGATAGTTGCTCTCCACAACCGAAGCAGAATATGTCGCTGTTACGGAAGCCAGCAAGGAGATGGTTTGGCTCCAAAGTTTCTTGGAAGAGTTAGGCAAGAAACAAGAAAACAATGTCTTGTATTGCGACAGTCAAAGTGCTATCCATCTAGCGAAGAATCCATCTTTTCATTCCAGGACAAAGCATATACAATTGCGATATCATTTTATTCGGTCTCTTCTGGAAGATGGGATTTTGAAACTTGAAAAGATTAGTGGAGCTCAAAATCCGGCAGACATGTTGACAAAGACGGTGACAACGGACAAACTGAAGTTGTGTTCATCTTCAGTTGGCATGCTAGAATAAAAGACCAGAAATACTGCTGCATCGATCAAGGTGTGAAGACAGATTAAAATCAGTCTTCAAGTGGGAGATTGTTGAAATTCTAGATGGCTGCCATTCTAGATGGCAGCCGGTTGAATTCAAAAATAGGGGCTGTTGTGTTTTGTTGAATTTGGGCAAGGGTAAATCACACATTTAGTCATTGTACTTTAGGGTATTTTCAAAGATTAGTCCCTAAGTTTCAACTATAAATACCCTAGCTCATTTAGCTTCAAAATCATCCCAAAATCTTCCAGTTCTCTCTCAAGTGTGTTTTGTAAACACTTGTAATTTTTCTCTTCAGTAAAAGATCTGCAGCAGTCCGGAGACGTAAGCACAATTGGCTGAACTCCGTTATCAATTTTTCGGGTATTATTTTCCGCTTTTATTTCGTATTCTCACTAATCTGGCTATAGGGAAATTACTTGTTCTCGTTATATTTCCTAACATTCCTCAAATCAAAAAGATAGAAACAACATTAACAAACAAATCAAACAGATAAGCACCAAAGATCTTTAATCCAGTTACAGAGTTCAGGTAGGAGTAAAATCAGAGGAGGAAACAAGTAAAGAGATAGAATATAACCTTGGGGCCACTCAGCAACAATCTTTTCCTTGAGAGTTGAAACAGACATAGAGGGCTCGTAATTACCGCGTGCTATATCTTTCCTATCACACAAGCGGAATCTAAGCTCAATAAGCCCCTCTCCCTGGGCCACAGTAGAAGGTTTTGTTCTCCATTTCCTAGCTTGCAGGTCGAAGTGGAATGTCATAAAAAAATGATAGTTTTGTTGGAACTAATGGACAGAGTAATTATTATTTTATATAGGTGAAACAATAGCAATTACACACTCACTTAAAATTTGAACTGGAACATTCAGAGTTATACATTTTCAATCATATATGTGTTAAGCTAGACTACAAAAAATGAAGAACTTCAGAGTTCAGATTTCATTCTTTGAAGATTGTTTCAAATTTAGTGAGAAAAACGCATACATCAATTCAGATATATTTTAAACTAACCTCATATCCTCAGAGAAATTTGTCTAATAGCAATGCATATAAATCAACTTCCAGAACCTCGCCAACAAGAGAGATCGCCATATGATCTGATAACCGGTAAGGTTCCTCGTCAATATAGCTAACTCTCAACCAATGTTCCTTTAACAAAAATGCAGAACTCAACCTCAAGAACCGGTAGAATAATAACAACAAGAACTTAATATTCTAGTAAATATCTAATTAAGGCTCACGCAAAAGAATCTGAAAAGAAGCGTAATTAAATAAAATCTAATCTAGATTAATTTAGGTAAGATTTTCTGTTTCCCGTTCATTTTTTCTTACTTTTTTATGAATTTGAATACCTGATTTGGTACCCTCCATATACCGAAGCACAACATCATTTCCTGGATGATTATCTTGGATCGGCTGCCTACCAAAGAAAGATTATTTCGATTTGGCCTTGTTACCAATGATACCTGCACATTCTGCTCTGCAACAACAGAATCTCGGAACCATCTCTTTCTTGAATGTACGAAGACTGCTACCATTTGGAAATCATTACTACAGCTGTCTGGTATTAACATATCCTTTTCGACCTGGACTGATTTGTTGGAATGGGCATCCAATACCTGGAAAGGTAAATCACTTATCACTAGAGTATTGAAGCTCTCTTGGTGCACATTTAATTATATCATATGGAAGGAAAGAAATCGGAGGATCTTCAAAGGAAATTGCAGAACTGAAGAAGATATTATTAACACTATTAAGGAGATTGTTGGAGCTGTTCTAAGCAATAGAAATGTTAATAGATTAGATATGATTGATTCTGATCTTTGTGAACATTGGGGTATAAGTTAATTTTGTTGTAAATAGGATCCCCTTCTTGGTTTTGACTGTATTTTTGTAGCGGTTCGTTGCTATCTTGGGTAATAAATTTTAAATTATCCAACAAAAAAAATGATTTAGTGTGATTGTTTGGTTCTTGGAACAAGTTTATAAGATCTTCATTGAAGTTGCTTGTGGATTTTTATGGTTGCCTGATTAATTTGCAGATTGGTTAGGGATTGGTATATGATTTTGGGTGTAAATTTGGGGGTTAGGGTTTTTTTGCCTGATTAATTTTTATTTTATTAAATAGAAATCTTATTTGGCTGAGGTTTAATATTAAAATAAACCACGTCAACGAGCTGTTTGTGATATAACGGCGGAGTGACAAAAAAAGTTCAATGAGTAAATTGAAAATTTTGAAAGTATGGTGAATAAAATAGGAATTGCATGAAAGTTCAATTATCAAATTTGTAATTTACCCATTAAAAAGAAGTATAAATGGTAGAAGAAGAATAATTAGAAGTATAATTGTATAAAGAAACACTGAAGAATAGATAAAGATTATTGTTTTTTTTCATTGAAGAATAGATAAAGAAGTATAAATGATAGAAGTAGAAGAATAAGACGTATGATTTGGTTGAGTTAGAGTTTTTGCTCCGTCGTAGCTTTTCATGTCTCTTGTATAGCTTTGGACTTCATCTCTATAATGGACTCTGACATATATGCTCTCCCCTTAGAACTGAGAAGAAACATTAGAAAGAGAATAATATGCGCGCGATACATGTTGTAGACAAATAATTAGACATTTAACAATGCTTTTTACTCTTTAAGCATTATTAACAGTTGATTTGTATGTGTTTTGATCTTTGAGGTTAAAGATTTGGTAGTGGTTAAATTTCAAAAACAGTGGGGGCATAAGCATATATATATATATATGATTAAGACCGACTAGAAATGTAATCAAAGACAGCATATTCCATCCCCGACAGCATATTCCATCCCCCTCCCCACGACGGATATCAAATAATGTAACATTTGTAGCCCGTTAATAGTCACTCCAATACTATTCCGTTCATCATGTAAATTGTCTTTCCCCTAAGAAAAAACATGTCTAGTGCTAATTAAGATATGAGAACGTTAAATTCTTTTATTAATTTCAATCATAAAAAAATATTAGTCCATTTTATATTACTTTGTAATTAACCTATAACATTAAAAAAAATAAAAACGTTAACAATTTTTTTTATTAACTGCAACGGTTAAATTTATATTTTATCAAAAGTTTAAGAATCAATTTTGTATTTTATCTAAAGTTTAATAGCTAATTTGAAAAGTATCTCATTTTGTTAATGTATCATGCAGTGACGGATCTAGAAATTTAAGAATGGAAGTCCAAGATTTTAATTTTCTTTTCTAAAAAATAATGGGTATGCAAAATTTTTAATTTTTTCTTTTTCCCTTAACATATTAAGCTAAATTTATTCACTTTTCAAAAATAATGAGGATGCACTTAGCCCCTATGAGAGCTTAGTACATCCGCCACTGGTATCACGTCATCAAATGACCGATAATATAAGTGATCACAACATTACGTTTTTTTAAGTAAAAAACAAAAGACAAACAAAAACATTAAAAATATCATTTTAATAGTTTAGGAATGTTTATATTTTAAAATATTATCAATATTTGATGCATTCACATTGTATAATATTATGTATTGTTTATAAATAATCAAATGCCAATATATCACTAAAATGATTTTAACTTTAAAACTTTATAATTTAAATTGAATTTTAACATCACCAAATCCAAAGTCCAATCCATACAATTTGTTTACGTGACGGCCAGTTGTTCACTATTGCATAACCAAAGGGTAATATAAAGACATGGAATGTAATGCCTTTCTTTGCCCTAGATCAAAGTGGAAGAACCAAAAGTAACATTCAACCGAGAACCAAAAGAATCGATGTCAGGCTTTTCAACTCTCCAATAGGATGCGCATATATTGCAAGATTATATTTGATCACGAGGAATTTTAGCCATTATCACTTTACCACACATTTGAGAGACCTCGTAGTCGTGGACCATTAATTCAAAGATGCCCGACACATTATTTTTATCATCGATAGAAAAATATTAATTTTATAGTAAAGACGAAAAAGAGTATTTTACAATTTATAAACGACGACGTTGAACATTCTATTTGATATGTCTTTAAAAAAGGAATGACCATTTAATTGTATAATTTCATGTCGTACATCTCAGTTTATGAGGTAGGCATAATTAACAACCGTGACGATTGCCGGTAACAAGGCATCATAAAATTGAGTGAAAAAGAATTTCATACTTTGTGTTATGGAATTCGGGTTAATTTTCACCAATAACAGATTCACCTTCGAAACTATTATCTAGTGACTAGTGTGAAAACGATTGTACTAAAAATCACCCTAAGGTATATTCCCAGGAAAGAGGAGAGGTCACAATGGTCCCTCTTAAAACCCACTTTCCTTAGACAGAACTACCAATACAAGTAATTTTAATAGGACAATAATTAACAACAACTATACCCGACAATAGCTATTAAATAGAGATAAAAGAGAACACCAAAATATTTCACTAATAGAGGAAATATTACAAAGAGAGAAAGAATACAAATAGCCTTTAATATAGAAGAAGGTTTATATTTGTGGGATGATTAACTAAGAAGGAGGATGGCTTTATTTATAACAAAAGAATTTTCCCTCCTCCTTATACACAACCAATGTGGGACTTTGTCAAAAACCAACACTTTGAAGAGGCGGAGAATATTAATTACACATTGAAAAAAATAAATAAATCCTAAAGTTTATAAATAGTGGTTACATTATACAAACTATCAAACGTCTTTTCCAAAAAGAGAATAATAAGCCGCACAAACAAATTGTTTATATTTAATGACAAGAATGAAATAATTGCAAAAGATTATATAAAGTTGACTTCATTAATTTAAGAATAGAAACATATTACAAGCTAATCGAAAGCTATACGTACAAATCACATGAGAGACATTTAAAACTACACAATACACATTGCCGCTCCTCAAAGTGAGCACTTTGATTAATTTGAGCCAATTTTATTCACTTTTTCCCCTTCTAGTGTGAGAATCACAGGTCCTTAATTTAACATAGAGTGATATGGCTTGAGCAAAGGTATTAGTCCTCCACCTAGATGGAGGGACATGACTTCTTGGGTGGAACCAAGCAGCTTTCCACCGATGAAGACGGCCGGAACCGAGGGGCTACACCCCAAACTCAAGAGCGCCCTCTCCATTTCCCTCCCTTCGGGGTCTTCGTCGAGCTCATGGACCGTCGGGGTCACCCAAATCTCTTGGAATAGAATCTTGACCGCGTAGCACAGGCAACATGAGCTCTTGCTGAATAGCACTAACCCATTCTCTGAAGCCAACCTCATCACCTTGTCCATGTCAAAAAATCCTGGTAATTCAAAATGTTTGCTTAAAGAAAGTGTTTTTAGTTCGAGATTAAGGACTGTCGGACCGATTTCAAAAGTGCGGTGGATCCAATGGTGGTGGGAGGAGGTTGGACTAATGAGGAGGTGAAGTGGGGGAAAGAGATAAAAAGGTTCAAAGCTTGAGGTTGCTGGAAATTTAAGCTCCCATGGTAGAGTATTTATAGGGACATCGTAAAGTAGACTCCATATTTTGAACAAAAGAACATTCAAAAGAAAATATCAAATAATTTTAACAACAGAAGCTGTTCAAGTGTACATAAATTTGCCATTATTTCATAATACTTTCTCGTTTATTTCAATGAAGATGCAACAAAAGTAAAAATTTGTGAGGCTGGCTGGTCAATTTACATCAGATTCTCGCAATCGTCTCCTTTTTGAATCCCTTGTGCAGAAAGATAACCAAGGAGATCGCGAATGTGATGCATTTGCGCCCACTAACTTGTATGATTCTTCCCACATGTGAGCTCGCATGAATTTAGGCTCACTTTCACTTCATGCATGATATATATAGAGAGCCATCATGTGTGCGAGTGAGCCTAGCACACACGTGTGCAATGAAAACAGCTCCTCACTATTGATGTGGGACAGGATTCTCCATCCTTATTGCCATCAAATTTAGTTATATGAAACACCACAAATCGTTAAAGTGTTCTAATTAACACCTCACTTAATAATATAGTTTCTTAGAAATGTTATTGTCTGTTCTTGTGTTTTGAGACCTCTTGACTACACATGTTTACAGTGGCGGTTCTCCCATCAAAAACTACCATCACCCGTTTTACCTTCACATGTCTACTTTAACGTTGAAAATGTCCATAAATCTCAAAATGTGAAAAGCGGGAATGTGAGGATGGGCCACGAACCAAAGAAATAATTCCATCATTCTCTCACTTTGTGTTGGGAAATAAACCAAGTACAAGTAATTTCCCTATAACCAGATTAGTGAGAATGCAAAAAAAAAAGCGGAAAAATAATACCCGAAATTGATAACGGAGTTCAGCCAATTGTGCTTACGTCTCCGGACTGCTGCAGATCTTTTACTAAGAGAGAAAATTTATAGGTGTTTACAAAACACTCACTACTCACAAGAAAACTCTCTAGTATTGGGAGAAAGAAATTATTTTTGGGATGATTTTGAAGCTAAATGAGCTAGGGTATTTATAGTTGAAACTTAAGGACTTAATCTTGTAAATAACCTAAAACCTAGGGATTAATTGTGATTATCTCATTATCATTTTTCAACAAACATCTACCAAACTTTGAAAAACTATTTTTCAAAGAAACATTTACCAAACTTTGAAAACCATTTTCAAAGAAACATTTACCAAACTTTGAAAACCATTTTCAAAGAAACATTTACCAAACTTTGAAAACCATTTTTTCAAAGTTGGTTACCAAACTTGAAAACCATTTTAATACTTTCAACAATCTCCCACTTGAAGACTGACTTTAATCTGTCTTCACACCTCGATCAATGTAACAGCTTTTCTAGTCTTGTTACTCTAGCATGCCAACTGAAGTTGAACACAACTTCAGTTTGTCTGTAGTCACCGTCTTTGTCAACATATCTGCCGGATTTTGAGCTCCACTGATCTTTTCAAGTTTCAAAATCTCATCTTCCAGAAGAGACCGGATAAAATGATATCGTAATTGTATGTGCTTTGTCCTGGAATGAAAAGACGGATTATTTGCTAGATGTATAACACTTTGGTTGTCGCAATACAAGACATTGTTTTCTTGTTTCTTACCTAACTCTTCCAAGAAACTTTGGAGCCAAACCATCTCCTTGCTAGCTTCCGTAACAGCGACATATTCTGCTTCAGTTGTGGAGAGAGCAACTATCTTCTGTAGTTGAGAAACCCAACTCACTGCGGTTTCTCCTAGAGTATAGACATACCCTGTAGTGCTCCTTCTGATGTTAACATTTTTGGCTAAGTCAGCATCTACATAGTCTGTCAGTATCGTATCTCCACTTTTGAAACAAAGTACTTTGTTTGTGGTACCCCGCAGATATCTGAGGATCCATTTGACTGCTTCCCAGTGTACCTTGCCCGGATTATTCATGTACCTGCTAACAGCTCCCACTGCTTGAGCAATATCTGGTCTGGTACAAACCATGGCATACATCAGACTTCCAATCGCTGAGGCGTACGACACCTTCACCATGTGTGCACGTTCTTCCTCCGTCTTTGGTGACTGTTCTTTGGAGAGTCTGAAATGAACACCTAAAGGTGTACTTACTGGTTTAGCATCTTGCATGTTGAACCTGGAGAGTACTTTGTTGATGTACTCAGCCTGTGATAATATCAAAGTCCCTGACTTTGTGTCTCTCTTGATCCTCATCCCAAGAATCTGCTTTGCAGCGCCCAGATCCTTCATAGCAAACTGCTTTGACAATTTTTACTTCAAGTTTATAATCTCTTGCATGTCTGAGCCTGCAACGAGCATGTCATCAACGTACAACAATAAAATAATGAAGCTATTGTCGAACCTCTTGATGTAGCAACAATGATCTGCTTGGCATCTGGTAAAACCACTGCTACTCATGAAACTATCGAACTTCTTGTACCACTGTCTAGGAGCTTGTTTTAAACCATACAAGCTCTTCTTCAACCTGCATACCAGGTTTTTCTTGTCTGCCTCTATGAAGCCTTCTGGCTGTCTCATATAGATTTCTTCCTCCAAATCACCATGAAGGAAAGCTGCCTTTACATCTAACTGCTCATGATGTAAATTCTCTGCAGCTACAATTTTCAACACCAGTCTGATTGTAGACAGTTTCACGACTGGAGAGAAAATTTCATTGTAGTAAATACCTTCTTTTTGCTGAAAACCTTTGACAACCAATCTCGCTTTGTAGTGTTTGCTCCCATCGTGCTCTTCTTTGATCCTGTAAATCCACTTGCTGTGAAGCGCTTTCTTGCCTGGTGGTAATTCAGCTAATTCCCACGTCTGATTTGACAAAAGCGAGTCCATCTCATCTTTCATGGAAGACTCCCACTTGACTGAATCCTCCACTTGCATTGCTACATCATAGCACTCTGGTTCACCATTGTCAGTCAGCAACAAGTAGTGCAAAGAAGGAGAATACCGTTGGGTTGGTTTAGGAATTCTGGAGGAGCGTCTTAGTTCCGGTGTGCCTGGTTCTTCTTGAACTGCTTCAGGACTGATCTGAACATCATTTCCAGAAATCTCCTCAAACTCAGTAAATTCCTTTGTTTCAGCTTTGGTAATGGAGCTGCTTTATTCTACAGTTTACCTGTCTTTGTACATCACATTCTCATTGAAAATGACATCTCTGCTTCTAATGATCTTTCGATTTTCATAGTCCCAAAACCGGTAACCGAACTCATCACCGCCGTAACCAACAAAGGCACATTTGTTGGACTTAGCATCAAGTTTACTTCTTTCAGCAGAGTGTATGTGTACATAAGAAATACAACCAAACACTCTTAAGTGTGAAAGGTTTATTTCTTTCTTGCTCCAAACTTCCTCTGGTATTCTGCCATCAAAAGGAACTGAGGGCCCAAGGTTGATCATCTAAGCTGCAGTGTTAATAGCTTCAGCCCATAGAAATTTGGGCAATCCGGCATGTATCATCATGCTTCTGGCACGTTCATTCAGAGTTCTGTTCATGCGCTCTGCTACGCCATTCTGCTGCGGTGTCATGGGAACTGTTGTCTCCATCTTGATCCCCTTGTTTGCGCAAAAATATCTGAATCTCCTATTTATGTACTCTCCTCCATTGTCAGACCTCAACTGCTTGACTTTCATACCATTCTCATTTTCCACCATGGCCTTCCATTTTCTGAAGGTATCAAAGACTTCTGATTTTTTCTTCAGAAAATAAACCCACACCTTCCTTGTAGAATCATCGATTAAGGTGACATAATATAATGAGCCTGCAAGAGATGGATCTGGAGATGGTCCCCATACATCAGTATGAACTAACTCTAACTTTTCAGCCTTGGGTGTCTTACCAATCTTTGCAAAGATGACTTTCTTTTGTTTGCCAAAGATGCAATCCTCGCATAGTCCGACATCTACATTCTTTAGATCCGGCAGCTTCCCCTTTGACAAAAGTGTCTTCATCCCTTTCTCGTTCATATGGCCAAGCCTTTGGTGCCATAGGTTTGATTTTCCATCAGCATCTGCTACTGCAATGATATTCTCTAAATTTGAGGTTACATAGAGACTACCAGTCTTCTTACCACGAGCAATGACGAGTGCTCCTTTGGTAATCTTCCATTCACAACTTGAAAAGGTTGTACTGTATCCTTCTCCATCAAGCTGTCTGTAACATCCGCAATACCGGGTTAGTGACCAAATTGTAAAGTTTCAGAATTTGGTGACTAAAGTAGAAGAATGAAAGAATTCAATGATTATTTGAATATATATTGAAGGTTATTTGGTAATTATTAAAGGAAATTAAGGGTATTATGGTCATTTGACCAGAAAGATTTTTATAATTTTTTTTAAGGGTAATAAGCACGTATGAAGAAGAGTCCAGAGCATTCTTCAGTCTTCTTCTTCCTCCTCTCCACCGTGAAGCTTGGTATAAGGTAAGTGAGTCTTTAGTTGGTTAATTCTTTCGTTTTAAAGCTTGTTTTGATTCTTGGGATATTAAGAAAGATTAAGGAAAGCTTTAGGGGGCTTAAACCTCAAAGATTAACAAGTTATGAGAAATTAAGAAAAATGAGTTTTTAAGTGAATTTTTGATATGGAAGGAGTTAATAGATTGTGAAGTTGAATTTGACTTGTCAAGGATTAAATTAAGAGGTAGGAAGTGTTAGAATTGGAATTAGAGCACATTGGAAATTTGGTATGATTTTTGAATCTTATATGGAAGATAGAATTTTGAGGTTTAAGATGAAATAAATGAATATAGATTGGTTTAAGTATGTGTACTAGAGTTAAGGATGAAAAGGGGATGATATATGAAGTGTTTGAGAGGAAATGAAGTAATTTTCGGGTTGAAAATATGATTTCTGGGCAAGGGGAATCGGTACCCATTCAAGGGGAACCGATACCCCTTCAAACGAACAAGAATTTCCAGTATGTCATAGGGGAACCGATACCCCCATGGGGGGGAACCGATTCCCCCTAAAGGAAAATTGGGGATATGGATTTAATAAGTTCGTTTAAATTGATAGTATCCAA